CGAAACTGCCAACAGCTCCTGGAGAAGATGGACCCCGAGTGCTGCTAAACACCTGGCAAGGGGCTCGAAACCTCAGATCAGCTTCACCTGATATGTCGGGGGGATTGGGTTGCTTGACTGGTTATATGCACTCAGCTGGATGCGTTCAGCTGCCTTCCCCTCCCATCCCGTGCCATGCTCTGCCCCGGAGGTCTCCCCCAGCACGGCCGCCTCTGCTCACCTCCATCTCTGACCTTCGCCTCTCCTCTTCCCCACACTTAGATCCTGATCCAGTTGCTGATCTTCCTGATACACCTCGTCAGCTCCATATTCTGTGGCCACCTGGGCAAGGTCGAGCTGGCCTCCGTCACGCTGGCCATCGCTGTAAGCATTCCCGGGGGCTGCCTGGTGCCAGGCACCAGCTCCCACCCGCTGATGCTGGGATGGGATACGGGAACGGAGGCGGACAAGGACAGAGGAGATTTCAGACTCCCACTTTTCCTTTCAGCCCCTCTCCCTACCTAAAAGTCTTAAATGCTCATATGCTTTTTTTTTTTTAAATCTCCTGTTTCCAGGTTATAAACGTTACTGCCATCTCTGTAGGTTATGGTTTGTCTTCGGCATGTGACACCTTGATATCGCAGGTGGGTAAGAGATGCTGGCACTTGTCCTGGAGACACGGGGTTTTCCGGCATCGGCTGATACCGCCCCAGCGCTGCATTGCACCCCGGCTGCACCTGCGACCTGGGAACCAGCTTGTCCCCCGTAACAGGGAGCTTCGTGCTCCCCTTGAAATACCAAATCCTTCCTGGGCGGTCTCCGGGGCGGTCAGGGCTGCTCCATGCTCTGTGGAGTCCCGGTCCCCCCAGCACCAGTGTGCTGCCAGAGCTCACCGTCCTCTCGCCTTGCAGACCTATGGCAGCAAGAACCTGCTGCGCGTGGGGGTGATCCTGCAGCGTGCCACCCTCATCCTCCTCCTCTGTTGCTTCCCCTGCTGCGCCATCCTCATCAACATCGAGCAGCTCCTGCTCCTCATCCGCCAGGACCCCGAGGTCTCCAGGTCGGGTGGTCCCGTGGCCCAGACACCACTGCCTCGTCCCTCCCTGGCATGGAGGGGCTGGGGGGATGGTGGCCATGGCCCCTTGCTGACCGTACCTCTCCTGTCCTCCCAGGTTAACCCAGCGCTACGTGATGGCGTTTGTCCCTGCTCTCCCGGTGAGTCCCTGTGGGCACCCTGGCTGCTGGCCACGCACGGGGACCGGCCATCCTGCTCCTGTTTTCCACGCAGCAGCAGCACAGCCCCTGCTCAGCGCTGGCCTCATCTCATCACCAATTTCCTTTTCAGGCAGTTTTTCTGTACAACCTGGAGACGAGATATCTGCAGAACCAGGTGGGTCCTGCAGCCCTGGCGCCCATGGAGGGTCAGCCCCTCGGGGCTCCCCTCGACCACGCACCCAGGGTTTTTGTGCTCGCTGTTCCCGGTGGCGAGGCAGCGTTTATCCCCACCACCGCCCGGGTGCCCCGGAGCAGCTCTGACCTTGGAGATCACCCCATCCCACAGCCAGCTGTATCCATCTGCCTGAGGGACCTCCCTCCACACTTCCCCATGTCAGGGATTTACCTCCAACACACTCATTTTCCAAGCAGGCGACATCATCAGAAGTTTATTTTTTGGCTGGGGAAGCTGCTGAGCGCGGGGCTGGTGGGGACCTTCACACCTCTCTCCCCAAGTTTTTGTGAAGGTGCCGTAGCCCCCGTCTCCTCCTCTTTGCAGATGATCATGTGGCCTCTGGTGCTGAGCGGGATCGTCGGCAACGTCGTCAACGTGATCGCAAACTGCATCTTCCTCTACGTGCTCCATTTGGGCATCGTGTGAGTAGCGCCCGCGTCCCATGGAGGGGAAAACGCAACACCTGGCACCGGCAAGGGACTTTTCGGGGACGTCAGCACCACCAGGCGCGGCCGAACATCCGGCACTCGCGGGGACACGGCGGGATGTTACGCTCTGGCACCCCGAGCCGGGGAGGCGTGAGCGGGATGCTGACGACCTTTCTCATTTCCTTTCCAGGGGCTCTGCCTGGGCCAACACGGTTGCTCAGTATTCACAAACCATTTTCTTGTTCCTGTATATTATAGGCAAGAAACTCCACGTGAAGACCTGGGGAGGTAAGGGCATCTCCCTCCGGGTCCCGCTTTACATAAGTGTTCATGAATCTTCCACCACTTCTATCAAGTGAATTCTGTTAGTCCTGATGGTGAAACATTAACCTCAGCCCGGTACGCCCCAGGAACGTGGTGCTGCTTCGGTGGCAGCACGTCATGCGCGAGCGTTGGCAGAGCACCGTGCCGGGCAGTAAACATTAATTCTGGAGAAATGAAACTTTCTGCTGAGGCTTTGTAGGGTTCAGCCCCAAAGCCGGATGAGCACAGACGTAGGCATGAGGTTGTCCTTAGACACTTTGCTCCGGGAGGGATGAGCTGAGGGTTGCACCGCTCTGTGGCCCAGAGGATGGCATCAGCAGAGCTTGTACACGCACGCTTTGCTGCTGGAGGTCCCATGGAGCTGAGGAGCATGCAAAATGACACCTCCAGCTGCCTTGGGTGCTCTCGAGGATGTAACGCGTGGCCAGCCTGGTCATCCATCAGGTGACGTTTCTCCTCTCTGCAGGCTGGTCCAGCGAGTGCCTGCTGGAGTGGGACAGCTTCACCTCCCTGGCCATCCCCAGCATGCTCATGATGTGCATCGAGTGGTGGACCTACGAAATCGGGAGCTTCTTGATAGGTCAGCGGAGAGGGGGAATTGTGACCCAGAGCAGCATCCATGGCAGTCGCGGGGGCTGAGAGCGGCTCTGCGCCGGGCGCCTGAACCCAGCGCTGACCCTCCTCTCTCCCCCAGGCCTGCTGAGCGTCATAGAGCTCTCCGCCCAGTCCATCATCTACGAGGTGTCCGTTGTCGCTTTCATGGTAAGGGCTGGGGGTTATTCTTTCTGACCAGGGATCCCGAGGGACGGTCCAGTACAGACACCCGGCAAAAATCAGCTCCAGCAAATCTTGGTCTTCCCCCTCTGTGCTTAAGCCTCTCCCTCCTCCTGCCTATCCCTCCTCTGGAGATGTTTTAAATTAAATCCTGAACTCCGTCTCCCTCTCTGCCGGGTGGTTATTCCGCTGTTGCTGCGATGGCCCCATTACCCGGACGCACATGCGAGCCTCAGCCCTGTGGTTACAGATCCCCTTGGGGCTCGGCACGGCTGCCAGCGTGCAGGTGGGGAACGCGCTGGGCGCCGGCGACATCGAGACGGCCAAGAGATCCTCCTCCACCAGCCTGTTCTGCACAGGTCAGGCCGCCCGCACGCCGGGAAGCCTTTGCCGGGGCTCCTTCCAGGCACAGCAGGAGCAGGGAGCATTTGCAGTTCTCTGCCCGCGGCACACACCCGTGTCCCCTGCTCTCTCCCTCCGGCTGCTCCTGAGCTCCCCGTCACGGCCGGGCCAGGCTCAGCGCTTTGCTCTGTTTTTCAGCGGGGTTTTGCATAGCCATGGGGGCCATTTTAGCCGCCACGAAGGATGTGCTGGGATACATCTTCACCAGCGACAAGTGAGTAGCCCCGGCTCCCGGCCCCGGTGTGCAGAGGTTGGTTCACAAAAGCGATCGTTGGCTCTTCTCTGTCCCCAGGGAGATTGTTGACTTGGTGGCCTGGGTCATGCCTGTCTATGTTGTCTTCCACTTGTTTGAAGCCATGTGTGTAAGTCCCTGGGGATGCCGCTGCTTTCGGTAGGGGACCTCGGTGCTGGGTGCCAGCTTCGCAGGTCGGTCGGTCGGGGGTCCCTCAGGCTGCGGAGGACCCCGCAGAGCTCCTGGGCCACCCCGTAGAAAACACCACGTGCATAAAGAGGTGCTGACCCACAGGACCAGGCAGGGAGACTGAAATAACCGGGCAGAGGCGGGGAGCGGTTTCATCACCAGGCTGGTTCACCAGCAGCAGAGCCCCGAATTCGGCCAAGGCGGTGCTCCGGGCGCTGGCCCCAGCCCCTCTCCCTGTCCCCGGCAGGGCGCCTGCAGCGGGGTGCTCAGAGGCATAGGCAAGCAGAAATTTGGTGCCATCCTCAACGCCGTGAGCTACTACGGTGTGGGCCTGCCCCTGGGAGCCGTGCTGCTCTTCGTCGTCAGGATTGGCGTCATAGGTACCGACCCCCCGGCA